TGGGTCACTATGAATTCTTTTACGTGTTTAAGTGTTTCCTCCTGCAGCACTATAAACTAAATTAGGGTATACCGTAGCTGGGTGTGCTAGCTTAAAAGCAAAAGCAAGTAGAATGCTCTAGCTCTTTTACTTTTCCCACCATTTCTCTAGATGTCTGGACATGTTTGAATGAGTTGACCTAATACTTTCTGCAAGAGCTTCTTTCAATTTCAGCTATAAGCTATATCCTTGTTGGATTTGGACGCGGCTATGAGAATAAAGACGGAACACTGTTCACTCCCACAACAGTCTACAGTTGCTTTACACAGGTATGCTTCTCACATATAGTAAGATCAGAACTTTTTTAGCATCAGAACGAATATCCGTGATACTTCGGTTTCGAGTGGGCGAATATGGGAAAGGGAGATCAAATATGTGACCCAGTGCGGAAGCTAATTACTATTAGTTTTTGTTTTGCAGAAGTACTGGCCTCATGCGCTAATCGTTGGCACTGAAGGGCTCGCTTACTGCATGATTCTGATCGCTTGTGAGCGATTTTTCGCAGTACTTCGACCGGTGGCGTACAAAAATATATTTCAAGAGAGCAACAAAGTGATTTTCCTCTTCTTCATACCATTCACTTGTTCCGTGAGTTATTTCAGTTGTTTCATACATTCTCTTGTCCCATTCTTTGAAGCTGACACATAAACTAACCTGGGAGAACATTATCAAATCTAAGTTCGTTGTTACGTCGAATGTGGTCTTTGGTTGAGGAAGAATTACACGATAGGATCGAAAAAGGGAAGCTGACCTAGTGATGAGACAGGAGAACCTTCCGAGTCACGGAGCGACAAGCAATTCTCAGCGACGGTATCCCTCGACGATCTGGCATAGCCCTTTTGCCTCTACGTCGTGGTACCCGCCACTCTCAGATCGTTTCGTATCTGCGTTTCCAGCCGTTCAGCAGAGAGAGCGTTGCTGTTGAAGAGGGCAACATCGATGAGAGTCGCCTTGCGGAAATTGCCGGCAAGTAAGAGACCTATTGCTTGAGTTCTTAGTTGACCCTTATGGATTTTTTCTTCGTTCTGCTCCGCGGACTACCTACCCTTATCTACCCTTATTTCTAATGAGCTCTCTTTTTGTCGTTAAGTCTCCCTCCGAAAGCTACAGAATTTTCTTCCGGAACGGCGCCAAATGTAGGGCATAAAAGTGATGCTCGAACTGAAAAATCCTGGCTCCCTGATTCTTTACCTTAAGCTTCAATTTAGTGGTGGTATATAACAGAATTCATAGATAAGATAGAAGGTCAATAACTCGGTCATTTGGGAGCCAAATTTTGCGAACACACTACGAAGATCGTACATCCGCCTCACAAAGACAATTCAGCACCTAGGTCTTTGTAGGAATGCACCGGACCCATTACAGCTGAGGGCCCCTGTAAACAATCTTATTTTTCTTCCATGGCCCATTGCGGAGATTGACTGACTCTACATATCTATTCCGATGAACCTAGCAATGGGATTGAAGATAGCTATATTAATTTTAACTGAACTTGAATATAAGTCCTTCTTGGGTTGAACTCCAGCCAGATTATTCTCATTTTATTCAGCTTTCCTTACTATTGGCATGGTTGTCATCATTTATGGAAGCCGAACGGGTTGTTCAATCCCAGCACTGTTTCATTATTCACAGTACTGGCCGCTGGTGAGTCCATGACTTTTAATGAACAACTGGTAAACAAAGATCGAATCTGGCTCAGTAAACAGGTTTTTCTTTTAGGTATGCCACATTTCACTTTGTAGTTATAGTTGTTGCCTTTTATATATCTTTCGGATCCTTTGTGGTCGTTTGGAATTTCAACAAAGTGAGTGAAGACTCCACGATTTCTCCATCCACACCTCTATTACTGAACGCTCCCACACAACCATTTCATCCACGGACTTGCCTTGAACTTTATTCAGTGGAGAGCTTCAGAGAATCGCATGTTTTTGCAGAATGCTCAAAATAGGTTGCAGCTAAGCTGATGATAAATCACTGACCGATTCCTCTTATCGTTAGGGGAGCATAGAGTTAGGGCTAGTTGGCGGTTTGGCTATTTTCGTCGGTTGAACCCTACGCAGGTTTAAAGTTTGAAAAGCCTTCAAGGAAAGTATCTTATAATCTTCAAATTATACTCATTCAATTCAGAAACTCACTTGCGAAAAAGGGACACAGAAGCACAACATCACCGCTTGGGTAGCGATTTCAGCTTCGACAGCTGTTCTTGTGTCGATACCTTCTTTTGTTATGCTTACCATGCTGTGGACGGGAATTAAATACAATGATATTATCGTCTCGATTGCCTACTCAGTGCCGGGGTGAGTTCTACTTGAGAAGGCTTCTAAACGTCTACGAAGAGGAGCTCCTACGCTTGCTTTTATGTACCTTTGCTCATCATCTACATTGTGCATTCTGAGTAATCGTGGCAATGAACAAAAACGACGCTAAAATACCATCACTCGTTCCCATTTGCTGCTTGCTCAACATTACCACCGATAGGAGCTAAAAACTATTTGCGGCGAAACTTTCCCTGCGATCTTGAAGTCTAACCTCGAAGTCTAAGTCGCCTCAGGCCGATGTCAGACTTTGCGAATCGCGCGATTCGCTACTAGCGATTCGCGCGATTCGCTAGCGTCCGCGGTCGCGTTGCGGTACCAGCCAATTGAGTGATTCACTGGCCGCGACGCGACCGCAGACGCTAGCGAATCGCGCGATTCGCAAAGTCTGACATCGGCCTTATGGCGTACCTAATGCATGAAAGTGCTAGATTCGTGTAGCATACGTGGCTGAATCGTTGAATATTTCCTTAAAAATCCATCAAAATAAATCCATTACCAATTTAGAGAACCTCTTGTTTCAGGTTGCTGTCTATCGTCAATACTGTACTTAATATTATATTTCACCCGCAATTTCGACATCAAATAGCAAGGCTAATGCACAAGGAGTGAGTTGCAGAAAGATCTGTGACCTTTCAGTGACATTTCTGTTCTAATACTCACAAAACCACTTCCAAACAGATTGAGATATAGTAACTACTCCTTAAAACTGTTATCAATTTGCTTAGGAAACGGCGCGTGTTTTCCTTCTAGGATAAGTTTACGAATCAAGGGATCTGGGATCCAGGGTAATCTGGGTCCAAGAGGGATTGGTCTCAATCCTTCTTCAAATTTTCAATCCCACATGAAGGTGGAGAGACGAATTCACAGATTCCGAACTCTTTCACTGACTGGACAGATCATGCTCCTACCTTTGTGTTCAAACCACTACATCATTTATACAAATGTGTACGCAGACAATTATGTAGTCTGGTTAAAGCATGCCAGACAGAATATCTGGACTTATCAGGAGCTCTGATGGGATAGCGATTCTGAGGATATTTCTGGTTTCTTAGAAGTGTCCACATACTTTCGATAGAGAGGAAACATCGATAGAAGATCAAAGCTGCATGTAAGTTGGCGAAAAATGAGAATTTTCAAGGTTTCCGCAAACGAGACATCGAATGGAACGGTCTCACGTGCAAAAGTCAAAAGTTCCTCATAGAAGGAAAAAGTATGGGGTGTCCTTTTGATGCACACTGTACACTGTGTATAGGGAGGGGTACTTGTATATAACACCAAAATCAAGCACAATTTTCCCGAACGGCCTTTGTAGTGAGTCTTGAAATGAATGTCATACCCAGGACCAGAACCGCCACCGGCTTTCTTGAGATTGTTCTACCAATAATAACCCTTTGGCGACAATGGCACCCACCGGTGGGTGCCACTATGACCGTCGCGTGGGACAATGGCACCCAATGGTGGGTGCCACCCTAAAATTTTCTTCTTTACCCATTTAAAACATTTTCAACATATCAGTAATTATAAGCAAGCTCCGTTACGCCTATGTTTAGCATATTTTGCAAGTCGTA